ATTTAAACCTAAGATCAGAGCCCTGGCCTGAACAGCTCCATCTGTCAATATTAACTAAGGGTCATAGTGCCACATACTAATTCACTGTTATACAGGAAATTTTCTTTAACTCCACTGTGCATTGTCCAATCATCCACAAAATTATGTCACATGATCAAAGCCCAGACCTGAACAAATATGTTAGTCTGTGTGTTTTGTTAGCGCCACCTACTGGCAATGTGTGACGGACACAGAAAGTGAAGCGTTTGCACAAAAAACATGCAATACAGAGCCGTTTTGCCCAGTCCTCGACTGCCCTCCCCCATGGCCGCATCAGGTTCCGAGTTCGCAAGTGCTCGGGCCCGCTCAGTGCTGCTTTGCAGCCCAAGTATTGTAAATGATATCCAAAAATTAAGCCTAGGCTTTAAGCCTAGTTTATGCTTCTGCTTCTGGTAATACCTGAGCTAGCGTAGCGGTAACACCACTCGCGATTAGCGTTAGCTTCACGCTAACTTAGCTAGCGATCTTTTTATAGTCAGTTTACACTGTTCACAATGATACAAACAGTACCACGATGAGTTTAAACATTAGGGAACATTCATGTAGCTCCGATTGGTTTAAGAAAAGTATCTCAACAAAAGGCATCTTCACACAACAAGCTACTTCAACAACTAACAAAGGGGCCTAGCCTCTTAGCATGTAGCAACAAAGCTTACCGGAGTTTCTCTCAGAGGTCTCACACTGTGAAACGGCTCCTCTTATTCAACATAACGCACAATACTCGTTCCAATATTCGTCAGCTAACTCACTAAACGGGCTCTCTCTCTAGTCAACGTGTCGGTTCAGAGGGCGCTCATACTCTTGACCATGACAATCAATAAAGCTGATGCGCCACCTTGTGGTGGGGCGTGGTAAAACGCTTAAATTACATAAATGGGTTTAATACCCAGGTGGATTACACTTTACATGAGGCTAAGCAAAGGACTGATATATTCTATTTCATGTGATGTTTATAAGTTTGATTTGTGTCGTTGTGATATTTTGTAATATGTTATTTGAAAACTAATGTTAGTTCTGTTATGCTGTTCTCTTTCTTTAACCTGGCACCAACACCCCACAGTCTCATCTCCCCAAACTTAACACATACATGTAATCCCAGCCACATGGTCCCACCACTCCAGGGGGTCTTTTGTCTTCATACTGGCCAGCTTCCAATATGAAACTCATTCACTCACTAATAATTCACAGTCGAGACCAGCCAGCAGAGTTGCGTGTCTGCCCCCAAAACTCATAATGTCCCCATTAGACAGATAGGAAGGAGAGGAGCTAAAAATAATAACCTAGTAAAAACCTAACCTCTGAAACTCGGACCCTAAAACAGACAACATGGAGGTTAGAGAGGAAGTGGCGCTCAGCCCGTTCTGAAGTTAATTTTACTTCCTGGAGGAGTAGCCTTGAAGTTCAACGTGCCAGAACCACATATTACTCTAGACTAATAGAGGACAATAAGAATAACCCCAGGTTTCTCTTCAGCACTGTAGCCAGGCTGACCAAGAGCCACAGCTCTATTGAACCAACAATCCCATTGTCATTGAGCAGCAATGATTTTATTCACTTCTTCACAAATAAAATTTAAACTATCAGAGAGAAAATTCACCTTTACTCCCCAAACACTCAGTCACAAACTGTCAACTATGAAAAAAGTGTAGACCTAGACTCACGGTTAGATCAGTTCTCCCAGATAACCCTTTCACAGCTATTCTTTAGTCTCATCCTCTAAAACTTCAACCTGCTTGCTGGACCCCATCCCTACTCAGCTCTTTAAAGAGGCTTTCTTAGTTGGCAGCACTGTATTGAATCTTATCAATCACAGGCTTTTAAACAAGCAGTTTTTAAACAAGCAGTAATTAAGCCTTTACTAAAGAAGCCTAGTTTAGATGCAGGTATCTTAACAAATTACAGACTTATATCAAACCTCCCCTTTACTTCTAAAATTTTAGAAAGAGCTGTTGCAAATCAGCTGCTTGATCACCTCCAGAGAAATGACCTGCACAAGGCCTATCAGTCTGGATTTAGAATGAACCATAGTACAGAGTCAGCACTTTTAAAAGTCTCAAATGATATTCTCCTAGCCTCTGACCAGGGACTTGTCTCCATGCTGGTCATGTTAGATCTCAGTGCTGCATTTGACACCATTGACCATAACATTCTCCTTCAAGACTAGAGCAAGAGGTTGGGATTGGTGGGACAGCATTGAGCTGGTTTTGTTCTTATTTATCAAATAGATTCCACTTTGTTAGTGTTAATGATGAATACTCATCATACACTGAAGTTAATCATGGAGTTGGTGGAGGTCGCCGGTCTGTCGCAGGGCTGACATGGAGGGTCACGCAATCACAAGCTCTCTCACCTGAGGACCATCTGGAGCCATGGGTTCACCTGCTGTGCATGTTGGACCATGGAGGGAGTGCCTGGGGGGAGCAATGCGCCCTTGGGAAGACCATGCCAACGTCCACCTGGAGATTCCCGGGCTGGATTCAAGCCAATGACCTGAGACTGTGACTCTCTCCTCCCCCTGGCAGAGGCTGTCCACACCAAGTCCAGTTCTGCCGGAGGTTTCTTCCACCTGGGAGTTTTTCTCCCCACTGTTGCTCATGCTTGCTCGGTGTGGAACAAGTTGGATTTTGTCTTTTTTAAGATCTTGGACTTTTGTGCAGGGCCCTGAGACAACAGTTTGTTGTGATACCATGCTATATAAATACAATTGATTGATTGATTGATAGATAACACACACACACACACACACACACACACACGTATACTCACATACACACATATACTTGGTACTTTGTGTGTTTATACTTTTATTATTTTCATAATGAATGTTTTTCTATAAAACATATCTTCATTAATGTTGCATATGTGTGCATTTTGCCAACTTCTACACTGTCAATAACTCCATATCCTTCATCTTTGCTATCTATTGATGTGGTAATTTTGGTTATAGTTATTCATTTAATTATTAATCAGAGTTCTGTGATGTAAATCTGAAAATACAAGAGGCTGGATTACCAAATTTGTCTTTGTGTATTTGTTAGGGGCTTTCTGTAGAAAGGATCAACACAGAGAGTCCCATGGATTTCAGAGTGCTGATGGAGAACAGTCAAATGCAAGCATCTTATATAGGAGAACTGGTTCTGTAGGCGCAGTTTCAGACAGGAATTAAGACACAGGAAACACATTTGCATACATTTCAGTTGAAAATAATGCATAATCCCTTGGACAGTCAATAAGAAATAAAAAGATCATACAGGTTTCAGGTCACAAACAGTTAAGGTCATAAAAGTCTCAGACAGGTATATAAAGGTTTCCACTACAGTTCCAAATTTGTAGTCAGTAATCAAAAATCAAAAAATCTTTTCCCTTCCTTTGAAGGGTGGTGCCCCAAGGTAACTCTTATTAATTAAAGTTATTATTTTATACTAAGATTTTTAATATTAATATTAAAAAAATGTCTGACAAATGTAATGAATGCCCCAAAGCAAACTATAATGGTGCCACACTTAAGGTATAATAATCACAACATAGTACTGTGGCAGTGCCACTGCACTGAGGCGCATTACTCAAGGTCAACAATAACTAGGTCGGATATTTCCTAATCACTCACACTTAGAACTGATCTTCCTAAGAAACATTTTGAATTTATATTTGTCATCCAGGATAAATAAGGTGTTGTTTCTTCTGCAACAATGGAGTTAAAACACTGCATTGCATCATAATCTGCGGGGAGTATGTGTGTATGTGTGTGTCTGTTTGTTTCTGTAACTCTTCACACACAAACTAATACTTACATGGGAAATTCACCATCTAGTTCTATATTTGAAAAATAGTTATAAATCGATGATGTAGGGTCATGAATCCGTAAAGTTCTGGCCACTTTAACCCTGATGCCCTGGCTGTGCATGTTGTGTTACATCTGGTATTGTGTGACAGGTTTAAATATGTGTGTCATAAACTCTAGAGCGAATCAAACAAACACAAAGTAAATGTGTTTGTGTCCTAATAACATCTGATAAATGATGGTATTTATTGGTAAAGTGTAAAATGAGCGCAGGTCAGTGCGGGAGAGAGGAGGAAGCAGACTCTGACAGAAATTCTCATACATACAGGACAACCGGACCTTTAATGTGCGTCTGTCCTGATCCTGAAGCAGCGGTGGTTATCATTATGCAGCAGAATCTACATCTTTGTTGCGATTCATCTAAGAATCAAGAAATTACCACAGCTCTAGTGCTCCCAACTGTGGAGGAGACATAGAGAGAGGGAGGGTAGAGACAAAGTCTTATCTCCCAACCTGATATTTAGATTTTTTTATTCAATCAGTATACTGTATCTGTTTCACAGGAAAGCTGTGAGCAAACAGGAAAATAATATTCATCTGTTTCATATATTCAAATATGATTATTTACTTATACTTATTATACCGAGGAGCATCGGTTGGAGTGCATTCTGCTGGACAAACAAAATAATAATGACACCATTTTCATGACCAAATATGGCCCAAACTATTTTTGCTATATGGGTATGGTTTTTTACTGTCAAAAAGCAGACAAAGTTCATCAATGCTGTTGTCTTTCTCAGATAAGTGATATAGGGCTTACTTAAAATAAAAACATTGGTTTTGGTGTTATAACAAGAGGGTTAGATAATAAATAAAATATGCACTGAAACATTATGTACATGCAGTTGATGTAAAGTGTTTATTCGTATTTTTCCTTCTGAATGATAATCATCAATAATAATAGTCAATATGTTTTCTCATGTCTCAGCTGTGAATCTCTAAATACATTGGCTGTATGGGTACCACACATTTTGCCTGAAAGCAAATTACAGCTGATTGGAAACAACCTTCTTCATTGACTCACACCTCTTTCCAACTTTTTCCTGGTCAGGAATAATATAAAACTGAAACCAATAAAAAATATTGTATGACATTTTTATTTGTTGTATGGTTTGTTAAATGATGATAAAAGGAAATATAACAGACAGTCAGTTGTTTAATGTAGCTGTTCAAAAGTATTGTTTCTTTCTAGTGTTGGCTAGATAGCCAGTGATATGGTTTTCCATGTTTTTGTGTAAATTGAGATATGCATAGTTTCTCTAAATTTAATTAGGAACAATATGTTGCTCTGTGGGGACAATAAGCTCTGCTTGTGTCATCTAGTGTCTTACTCTGTCAGGTTATTACACAAATTTCTTTTTGAACATTATGTCTACTTATAACATTGAACACAAAGTGTGGGTCATCAAAAAGCCTAGCATTTGCCTGTCCTCAAACAGAGGTTGTTTAACTGCAATCGTCAATGTCAAGCTGAAGCTATACTTTGAACATGAAGGCACATGTTGCTTAATTCCTAGGACAAGCTGCTGTAGCATACCCTCCACCAATAAACTGACATACACATCCAGAGCGCTGCCCATAAAAATTCTTGACACAATGCCGTGACAGTTGGAGCTGCATTTATCCATGTCATTTCTTACATCACACTTCAGTGAATTTCTCTGGTCTGCTGGACCACCATCTTGCGGTAGGTGGGAGTTGCACTCAACATGATAGAGGAACCCACCACATTCTGAGAGCCAGAGGATTTGCTGCTCTCGCTGCAGAGGACTCTCTGAGAACCAGATACGTCACACTTTTCGGACACTCCTCCTGCCTCCTGGACCAGCTGACTTTCATTGCTTGTTGGCCCTCCAACCACCAGGCCTCTCTGAGATCTCAAAAGCCCTCCTGAATGTCGAGTACCTCCCGGAATGTGGCAGGTCTGGATCCCTGTCACCACTTTCATCGACTTTGCAGGGACCTTGTCCTCCTCAACCATCATGGTTTGGGAGCCACAGATGTTTCCAGCATAGATTAGGTCAGTGCCGTCTTCCTGGATTCCATTATCCACAAGCATCATGCAGGGGCCCTGGTACTGTCCACTAGACATTACTACCTGACCCTGAATAACCATACCTGGGGCAGGTCCAGTCTGGGTGCTGTTAACCAGTACCATGCCCTTTAAGTTGGTGGCTGGTGCCTCAGCTAGTAGCATAGTGTTTGGAATCTGTGGCTGGACAACATAGTGCATCGGCTGCAGCACTGGAGTTGTGGTGTAGTACACAGGCTGCTGCTGCTGCTGCTGTACCAAAAGCATCTGATCTTGATTTGCCATCTCTCCTCTCTCTGTGGCCATGCTCTCCTTGATCATCTGATCTGAACGCTCAGATATATCCCTGATCACCGTCTGTTCTATGTTGGAGACAGATGGCCGCAGTTGGGTTGGAAGGGGCAGCTGTGGTTCAGTCACGAAACTTGATACTGAGGTCTGTGTGTTGATGGCGGCACTAGGCAAAGGAGTTAACACTTGTTTAACTTCAGTTAGAATTGGCTTGCCTACGCACACCTCAGCCAGGGTCTTAAACTTTAGTCCAAGGTCATCAAGGAAATGCAGGTCATCATCAGACTCCAGGAGGCTGCAGCATCCCACTGAACCAGCAGAGGAACCCTGGCCTTCATAGTCATAAACCAACAGACTGTTCTTCACTGCAAGGTTCTTGTTTCCATTGTTTAGCTTCTGTTTAAGAGTAAAAGAGCTCATTACCAATGTTTATATTTTGTAGAGTAAGCAGTAATTTGTTGTACCAATCATGACAAAAGTTGTAATTGCTAAGACTTTTAATGAATGCTGTAATATCTCCTAAATTGAAATTAAATAATAATTGAAAATCCCATTATTAGTCAGTAGAAGGGTTAGAAATGTGTGATATATACATACATGCCCACAAGAGAGTTGGGAGCTTTAAGTGCTCCAACCCAAGCCTACCTGGGTGAAAGAAAATTATAAGTCAAAAATATTTACACAAGTCCTCACCTGAGTATAGTACTGTCCCAGAAAGTGGTCTGGCAGAGCCATGCCATCATAAATTCCTCCTCTTCCTCCGGATTCTCTGCCTTCAATCTCAGGGTGGAAGCTACTGACGCTCGGCCGGTTTATCATCCCCCAGGTGTCTTCTCTGTGGCCAATGGCTAATCTATCTGGAGGGAACCAATTAATTCCATCGATGGAAGTGACTGACTTGTGGTTATCAAGACCTGCCACGGGCGCTTTTGCTAGAATTTTGCCCATGCCTACTTCCACTTGAGTTGGCATATTCAGCAGTGGTACTTCCTATAGCAAGGATCCAAATGTTAGAACATATCAATTCAGCTTTCACACAGACATCTCAATTAAATTTGACCAGTGTTTATGCCATTATTCATTTCCTTATCAGTTGTGTTAAAGTGGTTAATATGTTGGTCTTACCGTGTTCTCTCCCGGGCCCTCAGTGCGATAGTTAATGAGGTGTGATTTGGTGTCAAAAGGGATCTCAGTAAAGCCTCCTGAAACACCTGCACCCCCCCCACATTGGCAGAAGAGCAGCAACAGAGGAATGACTGTAAAAATAACCACAAACTTTAGTTTAGTTAAGTGTAGTGTGGTTTGGGGACTGGACCACTTGTAATGGGTATTAATTCAGGCATGTTTAGGGTGGCTTTGGCTGAAGGTGTAGATAGGTCATCCTCTTAACAAAAAATGTGAGCAGTTCAATGCCAGTTTTCACTATCTGCATGCTGAATGGCCACTCATAGTAAATAGTGGTGCCCTTAGATGTACTGGGTGAATGGCAAAACTGTACTGTAAAGCCCTTTGAGTGGTCATCTAGACCAGTATTTTTCAAAGTGGGGGCCGCGGCCTCCAAGGGGGTTCTAGGGGGGCCTTAGCAAATTGGAGGGAAGATAAGAAAATAAATAAAT